ATGAAAACAAAAAAAAGTTACTTGAACTATTGTACTCCGTTTTTGTTGGGATTTTCTTCATATTAGCTAATTAGGTTCTGCTTTGGATTTGTGCTGAAAACAGTGCTGATAATTCAAGGATGTTTTAGATATTGCTGAGCAGTGTTTCCAAAGAGTCAAGGCCTTTTCTCCTCCTCACCCCATCAGTGAGTAGGCTGGGAGTGAACAAGAAGGGGACACAGCTGGGATAGGTGACCCCAATTGACCAAAGGGGTATTCCATGCCCTATGGTGTCCTGCAAGCACATAAAGATGGGGGAATAAGAAGGAAGAGGGGAGGATGTTCAGAGTGATGGTGTTTGTTTTCCCAAGTAACCATTACACATGATGGAATCCTGCTGCCCTGGAGATGGCTGCACACCTGCCTGCTGATGGGAAGTAGTGAATGAATTTCTTGTTTTGCTTTTTTTATGTGTATGGCTTTTGCTTTACCTGTTAATCTCAACCCACGAGTTTTGCCGCTTGTACTCTTGTGATTCTCTCCTCCATCCCACTCAGGGGAAGTGGGCAAGCTGCTGTGTGGTGCTTAGTTAATACTGATATGTTGTATTTCTTCTTGGAGGTATAGTCCTGTTAAACTGCTTATGAACATTTAAATGAGTCTGTAAACACTCACATGCACACCCACAAGTTGCCTGCTATGTTCAGCTTCAAAGTCTATATAGAGTAGGTATAAATAATTATATAGTATATGATTCTAGGCCAAAAAAAAATTTCTGCTGTCCTGTGTTTGCTTAAATCTGCAATTTTTTAAATTATTCTTGTACTGGGTCACATGAAATTTGTTCTTCAGAAAACTCACAAGGGAAAGGTAATGTCAGTTCATTTGCAGAATATCTCTGCTGGCTCTCAAGCATGGTATAACCTCCTTGAACTTTTCTTTGAGGACTGTGCACATTGATGTCCATCTTAAAGACCCATTTCTGTCATGCTGCCTACAGTGAATTGAATTAACTTACATCCTGCTTCTGTTCTCCTACCCTTAACCAATATCTCATTCCCTACTGCTTCAGATGTTTGAGTGCCTTGAAACGGGGACTGTCTTTGAGGTTTCTGGAAGGTATGTGGGACAGCGTGTGTGCACAGGAATTAAATGAAATTGTTTGTGTTTAACCAACTCCAACAGGTGCCAAGGATTTAATAAAGTGGGGAACTTTACTCAGTGTGACAAATCATTTTATTGCTGTCTCTTGAGTCACATGGTGCCTGTTCCTTCTGTTCTGCCATACCATGGATTATCATAAACATGAAAGAAAAGTGGGGCAAGCACTCCACAGCTTCCTGTTTTGTGCTTTGTGTGCTCAGTGGTTGGATCACAGGGCTAGAGTGGATTTGAAGAGACAATTTAGATCACTGCTCTTTCTGGCAGATAGTTATTTAACCAATATATCTGTCTGTCCATCTGTCTATCCATCCAATGGATGTTCAGCAGAATATTTGATCACCAGAAAGATGTTCTAATAATTAACTTAAATCCAAGCAGTTTACAACTGTTTCTTCTGCCCTGTTCATAAGAATAGAGCAGGAAATTGTGATCCCATTATAATCAAAATCTGCATTCCAGAAAGACAGGAGTACTGCCCTGCAATTTCTACTCACTTTCCTCTGTTCTGTGTTGTAGGGTATATGCAGGCTGGTATTGCAGGCCTTCTTGCTTTCTTTGAAGGCAGCATACACTTAGCTTTGGCTGCTGGCTTGTGTATCTCAAGCATATACGTAGAACAGGCTGGTAATGCAGACTATCTAGTTTCTAGTCTTCATTTAGAGTTAAAAGTGGTGACTAGAATTAAGCATTATATTTTACCTGAACTCTTCTGCTCAGTGGGTTTAAAACCGTTCCATGTTTGAATCGATGCTTTCTAAAACAGAGATGTCTAAGCTAAGCCAATTGTTTTTAAGACTTATAATTATTTTCTGCTAAATTCACTTTCATAGTTTGCTTGTGTTTTGGAGGGAGGTGGGTTGGTTGCATTTTTTTCTTCCAGCCAGATACAAGGAAAAAGCTTTATCCCAGTCAAATATTTCAAGCAATGGAACAGGTTGCTAAGGGGGGTGGTACAGCCTCCATTGGAGCTTTTCAAGATGAGAGTGAATAAAGCTGTGAGTACCAGCATTTTAAACTGATGCAGCTGACAATGCCATTAGCAGGAGGCTGGACTGGAAGCTTTCTGAAGTCCTTTCTCAGCTGAATTATCCTCTGCTCCTATGACTCCTACAGAGCTTATCAGCTGAAAGGGGACATTTCCTTCCTCCAATGATAGAGAGAGAAAAGACATCCCCCTCCCAGTATGTAAAAACACTGTAATGTATGCTTCAGTTACCAAATTCACACACAGTGTCTTCAGTGCAAGACAAATTCAGTATACTCAACATCAAGAGAGGCATTTATGATGAAATAACTATAACTATTGTGAAGTGCTTATGAACAAAAGGCGCAGGGGTGGAGGGCTTCAACTATCATGACAAGCCTTGTCTCCTGCTAGTGCAAACCTCTCTGTCCTCTGCTAGCACTGTAATTGAACTTCTTTCACCCTCTCACTGTGTATATTGAACACAGATGTATTTCTTTGTAGCTGGCAATTTGTTGGGCTAAACAAGAAATTCTATTAATCTTTTTCCATCTCTTCTTGGAGGACAATCTCTAATCACCTTCTTGCCTGCTCTGGATCTGCTCCTAACTGAGATGTGAGAAGTAGCTTTGCAGCTGTGTTCTAGAAGAGGCCTTGGCAGTGTGCTCTGTTTTAATTTCCAGGTTCCAAGACCCCAGCATTTCACAAGGGTTCCTCTGATTAGTCAATGAATGTCTGACTTTGCGTTTTATATTATTCTCTGTCCTTCTCCCTCTCTCCTCTTAGCCAGTTCCTTATGTGTTTTGCCAATTTACCTGATCTCCATATTATTTGGTTTAGGTATCTTTTCAGTGGTATTATTTTGAATGCTTCATACAGGTGCAAATTAGTTAGGCCTATCACATTTCCTTTGCCTGAATTGCAAGCCAAAACAATACAGTTGGCACAGCACAGCAAGTTGCCTATTGAGCTTGGCACAACCTCTCACATTGAATCTCACTGTTCACCACCATATTTTCAGTTACGCTTTTCTACAGAATGTGTTCAAGAGCCTTGAGTATCATTGAGATAAAACTAATGGATCTGCTGCTGCTTGGCTCAACTTTTGCTCTCTCTCTGAAGTGTAAGTAAGATTTCAGCTCCTTTTTGGTCAGGCAGTGCCTCACCTCCATTTGATAGAGGCCTGTCTGATTTCACTTACACTTCATCTCTGTATGCTTTCATATATTCTGGAATGGAGACTATCTGGTCCTCACAGTGTAAGCACATTTAAATCCTTTGATCTGTTTCTTTTTTGATACTGACAACCTCCATTACAGTACTTTATTCCCATTAGACAGCGTGGGTTTTGCCTTAGACTCTTCATTTTTTTTTCTTATTGAAAACCAAAGTTATTAATTAAAAAAAACCTAAACATTAATCTTAATTCCATTCTTATAGCATCTTAATGTATTTTCTTCTTTTTATGTTCTCTGTTACAAGACTGAAGACATTTTTACTATGTAGAAAACATTTGATTTAGGGTGGTTGTCAAATTATTCTCACACTTTTATCTCTAAGATGTAGCTTTCTCATGCTGCCTATATATCTTCTAGTGTGTATCTAATATCTCTTTAGGGATGATTATCAACCTCTTAGGGCTGGATACCTTCTGAAGAAGTTGTTTCCTTTTCTTTAAAAAAAGATTTTAGATTATTTTGAGTTTTTGAGTTAGTTTAAGTCCTTAGGCTCTTCAGTTCATTTCGGGTACTAGTGCTCTTAATTTTTCAGGGGTTTTTGTTGTCTGATGGGTTTTTTGTTCAATTGATTTTATTTTTTTTTTAATTTAAAACCTTTCTTTACAGTCTGTTTTTATTTGTATTTCAACTATGCGTAAGGGGAACCAACTGATGATCATCAGATATTTTCCATGGGAATAACATTAATAACTGATAGTTTAACCAAAATAGTATTATTATTATTATTGTCTTAATATATATTTCAATCTGTGTATATATTGTGTTTAGAATTTTGTTGGTCTATATATTGTGTAATATATATTTTGTTGTGTCAAAGCCCTTGAATTATCTAAGGAAATAATGAATGAGGCCCTACCAGTAATCCGGGAAATAACCAAACCCTACTGTTATTATGGACCTATTTCTCCAGTGTAAACCAGGGAAGCTACTGCCTTCTATAGCAATGCAGGAGCCCATTGCTAGTGTGCAGCAGGACCTTACAAGAGCAATAACTGCTTCTTCCCCTGAGCAGTATGTCTGCAATATGCTGTATAATCCACTTGATAAAAGCAACAGGAGCAACACAGCAGCAGGCCACTGGTCTCTTGTTGCTTTAGATTGTCTGGATTGGAATGTGTCTCCTGAGTAACATTAGTGACCTCAGCCTGTATCCCATAAGATTTATAGTGGTCTTGTAGGAGAGTGTCTCTTCCCAGCCAGTGTTCTGTCTATTTTCGTATATATTTCTTCATAGCCTACCCAGTAATATATGTAAAATGCTACACACCACCACCATCTGTTTTCTCCTTTCTATTTTCAGATCCCATCATGATAGCCGCTATCTTTCAGTTATCTGTTTTTCCATCCTATGTTTTACTTCTAGTTCCTCTTTTCTATGCCTCAAGTGCATTGTGTTGTATTACAAAAATTATGGTTTTTTTTAAGCCTTGCCCAATGTATTAGCTAAATTGAGCCTAAACCCTGAAGTAATCTCATTGTCACCTTCTTTTTACTTTGATCTCTATTAATGCTTTCTCTCTCTCTTTCCCCTTGTCCTTTGATGTTAATATCCTGTATATTCTTGCATTATCTGAGTATCTTCTTCCATTTAAAAGGAATTTTAAAAATCACTCACACAATTTATAGATTAATGTTCTTGTTTTCCACTCTGCCAGCTTTGATTTCAGAGGGGTAAGACACTGGTAGTTGTGGAAAGTCTGCCAGCTGGAGTCCTCTTTCTTGCCTGGACATCTTAGAAGGATCCTTGCAGAAACAAGTGTGAGCTATCTGTTGATCTGTGATAGCTTGAAGCCAAGTTTGTCACTCTCTAGGCACTAGAACAGTTTAATTGAAAATAATCCGATTCATTTTTGTCTGTGAGATCATACTTCCCCTCCAATTTTTCTTGGTCAAAAGGTGTTTCCAATTCTTGAATTACCTGCTGTCTTTCATGTTCTTTTATGTTTGGAGTATTTGGCCACCAGCTGCATCCAAACTCCTCTGATTCTTCTGTGAGCATAGTCAGGCCACATTTCACACAATAATATATATCAACTTATCTTGAACTTTTATAAAAGGAAAATGTGATTGGACAGTATCTAAAAAGCTACTTAGTATTAGCCTGTGTATTTATTTCAATATATTTATTTGAACCTTTTACATTTACTTGTATTGCTATATAAAATTCAGTGTTTGTGAGAGCTTCAAAGGAACAACAAGGTGGATAACACTCAATTAAAAAAGAAGAAAACTCCCTTGGTAGCAATTTTTAGCTATTTTTCAGCTATTTGTAAGTGTTGGGGTTTTGTAGGTGGGAAGATCACGTTTCAACAAAGTACTAAAGTAGGGGTTTATAGGAGAAATGTTTCTGTACCCTCTTAGTTTGCTTGTTATTAGATTATGATATTTTAGATAGATAATATTAATTAGTATTTTAGATGACAATTCAGCAAAGTAGTTAATATTCTTCCCTTGAATGTCATGAATGTGCTTAAATACTTTGTGGGATTTTGTCCTTGAGGGAGAATTTTCTACCTTTTACTTAGCCAAGGCTCCAAAACTTACTACCATGGAGGAAATTATCACTGTTGAGTACATAGTGGATTCCCAACTAGCAACAGAAATGAGACTGGAAGATGCAAGCCACTAGCAAAATCCCTTGTTGGGTTCCCATTTGATGCAGGCTGTGTATCAAATGTCAGAAACCTTAAATCTTTGCACATCGTGAATTTTCAAGATAAGAACATGAAACAGAACCGTAATGTCTCTTTGTCGCTCTATGTATTTGTTTGTTCCTGTAAGGTGAATAAGGAGAGGAGACAGGTTCCAGCATGAATGCACTGCATCCAGAAGGGTGTGAGGAGGAAGATAGAGTGATCAGTGATCAGGACAGTTTCCAAACAAATGAGGAACCAGTCAGAATGGGACTCTGCAATGATGCAAATCTTCTTGTTCACATCTTTTCCAGTCCTTCCCCAGGTTCACGTCTTCAGATGTAGAAAGTTTAGACTTTCATTCAAGTATGTCTCTGGAGCTGTTGCCGACATAAAACACTTTAAAGACTGACCTGAAATTTTTGCATTTATGGAAAACATTAAAATTAATATTAATTTGAAGAACTAATTTGAATACCAGAAAAGCGTTAATTGTGTCATTTCCTTTCCTTTGTTTACAATAGCTAATGTATATTTCTCATTGAAAAATACTATGTATGCAGGTATACTGCATAAGACAGAAATGAAACTGCAGGTGAAGCATTCACGGCCCAGGAAATTATCCTACATTAGTGGTGCAGTAGTCTCTGGTCTTCTTTATTCTTTATTCTGTCTGCACTGTACCTATTTCACACTAATTCTTTCCCTGTGATTATGTTGCCTCCAGTTTGAGATGAGAGGAATCACATGGTAGATCAGTTGGAGAGCTTGTTCATGCTTACATGCAAGGATAACTGCACTGCATCTTGTTTTCCCCATGGAGAACTTACTGGCTTATTCCATTTAAGTTTTTATTAAAGCACCATTAATGCTCTGCAGTATAGTTTCTTATATTATCCCCATTACTGCAGACTCATGTCCCTTCCAGTATTCTGTTAAGCAGCATGACAAACATCTGTCGCATGTTGGCGCTTTTGTCTTCTCTTCAGGAGGAGGACTGTTTGCAAAGGAGTAGTTTATTTTGGATTTATCTTGATCCATTCCTACATATATCTGCACAGAAAGAGAAAGAAGCATGTATACCTTGCTAAGCAATTTTAAAGGACATGGAATCAACTCAAATGAGCCTACTATTTAGGTTGAAAAGTGGTGATGTTTGATATGTTCTGTAGTTTCTGCAGGAGCTTGTTATGTTGTTACTTCACAAGAAATTTATGACAAGAATGACCAAAAATGAAACAAAAATCTTTATGCCCTGTCTGCTGTATGAGAGACAGGAGTCAGGCTCACTACTTTAACCTTTTAACAGTTCTTCATTTTATTCTGTTGGTCATTTCATCACTTTTTCATCAGTGCTGAAAATTTAAAAGGAAGAATAAAAAGGACCATTCAGTAAAATTACAGAACCTTGAAAAGGTCAAGAAAATATCGTTTATTGTTATTTTTCAGAGAACACGTAAGTCTATAAAATTGCAGTGTCTCATTCTAATGGCCAAGATTGTAACAAGGACAGAAAGTCCTGCATAAATTCAGTATTTTTGACAATGACTATAAGCGTGGGAAATAGTACAATTTAATCTGTTGTTGTTACAGCTTTTAGATTATAATCAGCTGGTTAACACCCATGAAGTTTTAGATGACTTTTAGTTTCCTTCAAGTGACCTTATAGATTTTTTGTGACTATTTTAAAGCAAGTTGCAAGTGAGAAAGTGTAATGTTTTATTTGTTTTACTCTAGTCAAGAGTCCAGTGAATTAAGCTGAAACTGCAGAATGTCCGAACTTGTCCAGGTCAGTTATTCACTCATAGCTCACAGAATAAGCATTTCCTATACTTAATTTCCTATACCAACTGAAGGAGTGATATAGTGTGATTATTTCAAGAGCCATCAAGTTCAGGCTATCTATTTTTATGGCTTCGTCGACAGCCGCCTCTGGATTCTTCACATGCTATGCCAGCAGAGGTTTAGGTTATTGTTAGGTATGAGCGTTAGACTGCAAAATTTGTAACGAAAGCACAGCCAGGTAGGTATATAGGGAAGCGTTGCTTTCTGCTATCCCTGGTTCCCTTCACAAGGTAACTGAGTTTGGGGAATAGACTTGGAGACTAGGTGGACGTTTGTTGTAACTTAGTGAGGCTATTCTTAGGTTTGTATAGGATCCACCTTTTTCTGTCTAACTTAACTGTCTTATTCTCTTCAGTAGGTGTTTGGATTTCTTCTATGGCTGATGAATGCAAACAGGCACCTTTAAAATGACATATTTCTGACAGTCAGCCCCTGTGATTATACAGGAATCTTAAGAAGTAGATGCTTATCTTTTAGATGGCTACTTTTAGGTAAGATGAGTACTAGTACAAAGGCTGTAATTCATATCTAACTTCTTACCTTCATAAGGATTTCAATTTAACATTGCTTGCTGTAAATTCCAAATTCACTTTAGACTAAATCAATTTTGCCTGATACCTATAAGAATGAATTAGAGCACTCCCTTTCTTAGAAAATCTCATTGTGCATAATGATAAAAATTTCCTGTTATTGTAATAATCCATCTATGAATCCTGAACTCCTCAGAATTTCAGTTTGATATATGACTGTTAGACTGCGTTGTTTAGTAGTAAAGGTAGCACAATAGGAGCCAGAAATCTGAGTCTTAGATGAAGATTCTGTTATAAAAACACTGAATTAAATGTTACTACTTACAGAGTTTCAGAACATGCATAAAGTAACAATCAGATACAGACTGGCAGGCTGGAGAGCATAAGAATGAGATAACTTAGCATAACAGACAACAGTCAAAGTGCCTAATGATTGCCCTTTGAGGTTTTTGTTTGGTGAGTGCTGAATAAAAAAGCAATTTTAAAGACATTCATGGAGGAGGAGGAGAACTTGGCTTTGCAGGAGCTTTTTTGGAAACTCTTCTGTATCACAAATGCACATGGGGAGCTCAAAGCCTTTGCTTGAAGTCACAAGTGAGCAGTGGAGGAATTGTGGGCCATCCAGTGTGGAACACCCAGTGCAACTGCTGACCTTCTGATACAGGATCAGAGGTGAAAGATGGGAAGCTGGAAGGGGGAGGCTCCTCAGTGGGGAACCAGCCAGCAGAGGTTTTGGCACTGAAGACAGCTGGCTTATGCTGGATGTGGTGCAGAAAGGAGTCAGGGAAGGGAAAGGATTGTGATGAGTTTTAACATGGTCCCAGTAGCAAGTGGAGAGCAGGGCTTCATAAAGATGTTCTAGACAGATATCAAGACATCAGGATTGCTTTTACCAAGGTGAAAGACTGCTGCAAACCTGAAGACATGGTATAATGAGAACTTCAACTGTGTGCATAGATAGGAATATATGGGGGTTTGTTCCTTTGGTGTTTTTTAGTTTGCCTCTCCTTATCTTTCTGAATTGGTTGATCTGCTGTATCATCTGGCTTATTTATGTTTTCAGTGGCTTTTTGGATCTAGAATTCTTACATTAATTGTAATTTTTTTCTGCGGCTTTGTTTTCTTAAACTACTTCTAATCCTCAGTTGCTTTGAAAAGATATTCACACATCTAAAATGCTGTCATCCATTAAGACAATTGAGCTTTTAATTAGGAAGATCTAAAATAAATGTTTTTAGAAGACAGTGAAATACTCTGAATTTCTTATTTAAATCTTGTCTTTCAGATTTTTATAAATGGCAAATATTATGAATTTGATCAGTATGTACAGCCCTTAGAAAACCAAGAAATCTTTTAAAATAACCATATATATCTTTAGTATAATTCAGTATTTGCTTTAAAAATGAAATTCTAATAGCTGGTAATATAATAAAAAGGACTATACCATCAGCTAGCTGTGTATAATTACATTAAAAACATCAGTCTGTACTTGATTCAACAATTTTCAAGAGCTTGTTAACCTTTCAAATTAGAGTTGTACTATCAATTATACTCAACAAGGAACTTTTTATCCATATTTTTTGTATTTCCTTAATTAGTTCCATAACTCATTTTAGGCATTTTTCTAATACAGTAATGTCATTTTGTTATACTGCCTCAGCTGGATTTTCAGGGATGTGTTATTTTGTCTTCCCCTTTTCCCACTACCACACTGTAACACTTTTGTAATGATGAATGTTATCACCTCCTCACTCCAATCAGCTCACAGTTGCTATGTGGCTCACTTGAAATACTCATACAAGACATAAAGGGACAGACTTTCTGTCTCAGAGTACTGGTGTGAAGGGGTTCTACAGTTACCCAGCTTCAGACTGTCATCTGGAAAGAATGGATTACATATATTCCATAATTATCTCTTGGAGTATCCCTGCTGTTGTTAAAAAGGTGCGAGGAAGTCTTTTCTGCCTCTGAAACTTTCAGGGAATTCTCTTCAGCCAGTTTTTCTCACCTTGACCCTTTAGAGGACAGATTTAAGCACACTGTGTGTGTAATAACAGTTTCAGCAGCACTACCTTAAAATGGTGGGATGTGGCAGCAGTGGATAGCTCTGCCTCCTTAGTATTCATAGCAAGTTAGAGGTGTCCAGAGGGCCATTCCTACAAAAAAAAAGCAACAACAAACAACATGAATTGGACAGGGGAATTCTGCATTTTAGCAACATCTTCAATTATGAAAGTGGGAAGGATCCTCCTACCATTGCTGTATAGATGGTGAATACTGTGTAGAATATTGCAGTCTGTTCAACAGAAGAGGAGGATGAATTTTCACCCTAAATAAAGCATTGTTCTTAAGAATAAATCTCCATGAAGTTTGTAATCTTTAGGAGTGAGGTAAAAGCTCCTGTCAAGTCACTGTTATGATTTAGAAAAACAGAAAAATGACCTAGCATTAGAAAATGTTTTAAAAATCAAAATGTCAATCAATCAAAATAGAAAATGTAAGACATAGTGCATCTGGATCTGAATACTTCGATGTTATGTATTGTTTTTTTGTATTGGGAAAATTCTTATCAGTCTCCAGAAAACATCTTTATCTAGCCTGTCAGTATTTCACCCTTCATTTTAACTTCTTGTCATGATATTTTTCATGATTATTTCCAAAATACATTTTAAAAAAATACATATTATGTGTTAGAGTGCTATACTGAAACCAGCTAATGTTATTTTTCACTTATGTGTCTATCAAGTTCACAATAACAGCATTGAGTTAGTTATATTATTTATCATATCTTAACGTTGCTCCTTAGCTCAGAGTTGTAGGATGGGAAAGGACAGCTTCTTAAAATAATCTTGACAGTTGTTTCTCTAGCCTGTCATTAAAGATCCTCTCAAGGGCCATATGCCAAGGTCCAGATTGAACCTTCTTTTCTGTACTTTCCATTCACAGTCTCTTGTTGTATCAAGTGGAGATCAGACTATTTCTGTTGTCTTCGTAGTGGCCTTTCACATATTTGAAAATAGTGCTCCCCTTCCTAGTCTGTAGGCTTAGGCAGACCTGTTCCTTTCCACCTTTTTTTTTTTTGTCTGTCACATTTTCTATGCTTTGGTTAACCTGCCTCTTTTTCAGAGGATTGTGTCCAGGCTGGATGCAGTGCTTTAGCTGAGATGTCCTTGGTGAGTGGAACAGAAAAGAACTACACGTGTTTAGCAGTGCCTGCTCTTGTTGTACTTACTGCATGGGGTTTTTCTTTTTCAATATGGCACTGCTGAGTCTTCCTCACTTTGGGATCCACAGTAATTCCCCAGAACCTGTACTCTACCATCTCAGGCTGAGGAACAACTAGTTAAAGTCAGGAACAGCTGCCTTTCCGCAGAGCTCTATAATTCTGCTTTCTTGCAGCCTTTCGCTTAAAGCTGTCATCCAAGCTACTAACATCCCAGTTGCTAAGTATTGACTAGTGCTGATCACAGGAAGGATCCTGCAGAACTCTGTTAGAGCCATCTCTCCTCTTTTATAGGGTATTATTGATAATGAACTTCCATGTTCATTTTTTTTCATCCAGCTTTTCATTTTTCAAGAGATTTTGATTTTGTGGGTGTTGTTTTCAGTCTCCTGGCATTCCGTTAATCTCCCAGGAGTCCTCTAGAAAGACTGGATTAGTCTAGCCAGCCTTTTAAGTATGTAGGAGAAAGGTTATCAGGCCCTACTGTTTTGAAAACTTAAAACTAGGTATGCTATAACCCATTTCTTCCTCACAGAGGCTGTAAGCTTATCCTCTTGTCATGGGTCTTTATTGTGTTCAGCTATTTCTAATGCTTGACAATTGTAACGAAATAATATTATTTTTTTTCTTTTTCAAAAGGTTGTAAACATTTTGGTCTTCAAAATGTTGTGACCTTAAAACTATTGAAAGATAGATGATCCTGCCTAAGCCTGTGGCAATTCTGCACAGTAGCCTAGAGATCATCCCATCCTGAACAGGTAAGTAACTGTTAACGCCCACCAACAATTCAGGCTAGCTGGGAGCAGGTTACAGAACTTACTCCTACCATTCTTGTGATTCTCCATTCTGCTCCTGCCTACATTTTTATGCAGGGAAATTCTAGGAAAGCAGTCCCTGATGCATCCTTCTGCACGAGCAACTCTTACTTGGTAGCTGCATATTTAAATAAAGTTCAGAAGAATATGCTCAAAGGAAGAGACATGAAATATTTTGAAGAATCTTTTAAAGTTCTACAGTAAAGTGAAAAAAAAAAAAAAAAAAGAAAGAACCCCCCTTCATCCCCAGAAAACAACCAACCAACCAACCAAAAAAGGCTGTTAATTGTTTTGGTTTTTGAAAACTGATTAAATGCTTGAAGATGTAATAATGCCCAATGCATTTAGTCATCTTTGTTTCACAGTATGGTTCCCTAAAAAGCTGCTTCAGTTTTGGATACATCAATAGGCTACAGTACATTGTATGTACTGTTTTAAATTCTGTACCTTGCATATGGTATTGGATAACAAATGCATTGCATTAAGGTAGTAATTTGTAAGACGGGTTATCCTTAGCTATTTCCATGTATGAAATACAAGGAATGGCACCAAACTTGCAGTGTTGGCTGGTGCTGCTGGTGTGTTGTATGGCACAAGAAAAAAAAAGAGCAAAACTCTGCCAGTTCTGCATACAGTTATCCATAGTTGAGGTGGTTTCTGTGCTGTTATTCTGACATATGTTCTAATATGGCACCACTGTGGCACTGGACTAGTGGAGACCTTCCTAGAGGGGCTATGGGTAAAGGCAAAGAGAGCACATCCCTTACAGACAGCCTCATGGATGATAGGGCAGAGGTCTCAGCTTGGAGAGGTATGCATCTTCTTTATCTACTAGTACATTTCATAAAAACCATATCCCAAAATTGGATTTTTGTTTAACTTGGTCTCCTTCACTTGAATTCTGTTGAATCATGTCTATAGTTAAATCAAGCATTTTTGCATGGCATTTCAGAACAAATTGATTATATTTTAAATAGCATATAGTACTTCAACATTTATCAACCCTAGAAATTCTGCCATATTATACTATTAGAGAAATTCACAATTCATCACTGCATTATTTAGTGAAGTATTTCAGTACATTTAGTGAACAAAAACAGTCCTTGAAAGCTTGTTAACCTTATTTCTTCATTTTTCTCCTGCATGACTTATATTCCTGTCATTTATATGGATTTACAGCACCAATGCTAGTTTCATAAAAATCAAACATAAATGTTTTTAAAATAATTTAGTTGAGTTCTGCCTTATACTGAGCATATATTTAAATGTAATAGAAAATGAAAAAATATTTGGTAATTTTAGTAACTTGCTATTTGTTGCTCTGTAAAAAACTTGAATCTCCTGATCTACATATCTGTTTCTCAAAGACA